ATAGAAGATATGAAAAAGAACTATTATTTTATTGATTCTCAAGATTTTCCATATGATAACGTAAACTTAACTAAACAAACTAAATTATCAGATCGCTATCCACATGTTAATGAATAATTTAATAAAACAATTATTCAATATCATCTTCTTCGACGTATAAAATATTATCATTTACCATGTCAAACTTTTTCAATCAATTCTCCATGTTTTTACGATGATGCTCATTTATGTTTTTGTTATAATCATGCAGGACAACGTTTAACTAATTGTTTTCAATTTAATCACAAAATGAAATATGATTGTTTAAGAGGAAATGAACGTTTCAATGATGGTCAATGATTAATAATTGGACCAAAATGTTCGAAAAAATCCAGCTATCTTTGTCCTCCATGTTCTTATGGAGGACGATGTCAGTTTACTGCAAGTAGATCTAGTTTATCATATTTAACCATCAATTAGTTTAATTAATGGACTATTTACCCTGATAACATTCAAGAGTAAAATATTACGTGAAGTTGGTTGTGGTATATTTATTAGGTTCATCAATAACAACATTAATTATAATATTTTTATTTCCATTAAAATTTTGGATTCATAGTTTTGCACAAATGTCTCAAATATCAAATCGATCATTTTTACATATTCAATGTATGTTATTAGATTATTTTCTTCGAATATTTATCCATATGGATCAATGGTTAAATGCATGTGTAGCTTGTGAAAGAGCAATAACAGTTGTTAAAGGTGCTCGTTTTAGTAAAAAGAAAAGCAAAAAAAGGAGCTAAATTTATTATTATTTTATTTTTAATTCTTAATATTTTTACGTTTATTCATGAACCACTGTATCGACATTTAATTGATGAAATTGATGAAGATAAAAATGAACAACGAATTTGGTGTGTTGTTAATTATTCATTCAAATTACAAATCTATAATTCAGTTATAACAACATTTCAATTTTTTGCTTCATTTATAATTAATTTTAATTCAGCATTCATTCTTATAGCACAGAAACCTCGTCGACAATCAACTATTCAAAGAAAACGAAATTTTAAAGATATTTCAAAAGAAAATTGTCGAGAACATAAACACCTATTTATTGCACTTGCTATATTAGTGATTCTTGCTTTACCACGTTTAATTATTTCTTTTACATCAAAATGTATGCAATCAAGCAAAGACTCGTGGTTATTTCTTTCAGCATATCTTATTTCATTAATTCCCAGCAATGCTTACTTTCATTGTGTATGTATTACCATCAAGATTTTATAAAAAAGAATTTCATAAATCAATTGTTCAGTACCGAACGAATATACAACGACGCTTACACATTGTGCTATGAAAAAAAAGGTATAAATATAACTAAGTTTAACATTAATATTTACGCTTTATTTTTTGTCAATAAATATGAACATTAATTATGTAAATAAATTATTTAATCATTCGTATGTTATAGTTTTATCGTCTTGTAAGGACTGACTTATTTTTCAACATTATTATCATTTGTTCTCATAATATTTTATGTTGAGGGTGAG